TCGTTCCGGCAGTTGTTGAGTTTAATAAAGAATAGTCAACACAGCTTTTACAAGAAAGTACGCGTCAAGTTGCGACGGAGCTGATAAACAAATTTCAGACAATTTTCTCCACTCGTATAGAGAGCATCAATTGATGGACTATGTCAACAAATAACGTTTTAAAAAGTTATTGAAGTTGCAATGTATGCAATATTTTAAATTTTGAAAAAAGTAGCAGAAACTTATTAAATAGCGTAATAATACAATTAAAATGGGAGAATTCAGCAAAAGTCATTCATTACTAAACTGTATGGCGCAGCTCAATTTACCAGAACAAACTAGATGGCTGACATAATTTGTTAGTGCAGTAGGCTTGATATCAAATTTTTTTTGTTAGCATTGGGTACTAACAAAAAGTTTAAGTTGCTTTTTCAATGGGCCACTGTTTTTACTAGAAACTGAAAGTATGTGCGTGAAGGGAAGAGAAGAAGGAAAGATAGCATTTAAGATCAATATGAGAGCAGCAAAAAAGTTTATCCTGCGGACGAAGAAACGAGTTGTATCAAAGAGGTTAACGACTGCAGTGGGAAATAGTTTGAAGTGAAGAGAAGACTTTGTGTTTGCCTTGGTCGCCGATGAAATTCATTAATGTTGCAAGCACCCACCGCTTATCGTAATTGGACCTTAGAGGTAATGAGTCTATGAAGAACATCTCATCTATTTCCTGAGGGAACAGTAAGTCAGATTTCTCATATAAGTGTAAAACTAGTTCTGTACTATAATTTTTACTCAAGTTCAGACTGATTTTACAAATGTCTCATCAAAAAAAGCAATCAGATTTGTGTAAATGAAGTATTGAACATATTCCACCGTAAGCTTCAAAACTGATCTGAGATATTTGAACACTCAGTTGTGGTTGCTGGAGCAAAGATTTTACAATATTTTAATGCAAACCAACTTTTTTAAAAAAAAACACTAAAATTTGCGGAGCACAAACAAAAAGATCATGTGACTGGAGTAAAAATTATTTTAGTGACAATTTTAAATGCTCTATCGTTTGTGATAAATATATGCAACTTCGTTCTCTTTGAAACAGTCTCTCTGTTATTCCCGCAATCATCTTTTAACTCCGTAGTCAGCGCATTAATTTTCAATGAGGTTATTCGTTTCTAAAGTCAGGAAAAACAAAACTCTCTCCGAGCTTATTTTCTCGCTTATAACGGTTCGGGAAATTTCTGCTCCAAGAGCTTCGAGAGCCCGATTCCTGCTCACTGGTGTTCCTCTGAGTGCTATGTGTTTTCGTATTGTGATTTCTTCTGTCTATGTCAGTCGTTCTTTTTTTTCTGGAGGCAGGAGCGGATCTCCTACTAATTTTTGTTACGTTAGGTTCCACACTTGGTGCTATGCTACTCAGTTGTTCAGTTTCTCCATTGAGTTGTTTGTCAGGTATTCCTGCGATAGCCTCATCGACACCCGGTTCAATTTCGACCTGTTCTCCCGTAGTATTTTTTACGTGGACGAGAGAAGTCGTTGTTGGAATTTCTTGTCTAGCATCAAGATTTCTTCTTACAGCGGCATAACGGAACCGTTTGTCTGCAAAATGAAACAGAATAGGGTTATTCTAAGTTTTTGCTTACTTCCTTAGTGGTGTCCTAAGAAAGCCAGATGCTTTTATTGATTTGCTCAAAATCCTCCATTATTGACGAAGGCTTTATCTTAGAGTTTTCGTCTAAAAGAGGAACACAAAAGAAATTTAGAGAATGTTGAATGAGAGTGAAGAAAATGGGGTTTAGGGCTACAAAAAACTATGGATCAAGATAGAAAATAGAAAGCAGAGTTTTTAGAACATTGATCAACTTTCATTTTTAATCTGTGCTTCAAATCTACTGAACTAAATAGTGCTGTCTGTCATTATTAGCTTGTAACAGCAAACTGATTTACAGAATTTTGAAATCTTGACAGCAGTCAAAGAGCTTATACATTCTTCTTTATAAAAAATTCTACTGGGCCATCTAAATGCTTTATTATATTGATATATTTGGATGAGGAAAGCTTCGTTTTATAGATAAAATTCTTACTCGGTACTGCATACCAAGTAGCCTGCCATCGTCCTGTGTGGTTTTTCTGGGAGTGAAATAGAAGAGTCATCTCGTTATAGTACTTCGTCTTGACAACAGTTCCAGATTCGTTGGCACTTGTTATTCTAAATTCTGGTTCTCACATGATGTAACTGTTATTCTCAGATATGGTTACAGTGTTAGAATTTACAGTAATTGGTTGAGGTAAAATGACAAGCGAGACGTAGTACAGTATGTATTCTAAGGTTTCAAATGAAAGTTCATTAATTAACCAGAATATATTTCAGTAAACTAGTGCAAAATAAAACCCCAAAATTGTTGGACAAAATAGATAATTAGATTAAGATTCTTTTTACTAAGGTACGAAACTTGCGCAGCAGTTGCTTAGCGGAAGATTGGACCCTAGTTACCCAGTGACACGGTGTTTCATTTTGATCTGTATAGCTTTCAACTGTTTGAATCAAAGAATTGCTCTCGACTATAACAACCTACTTATACCAAAGAATCATGCAATTACTATCTAGTGCTAAATTGTAAAACTCGGTTTTCCTTTGTTGGCTAACTGAAGATGACAGACGACTAGTAGAATTTTTTGATCTTTCCAATGAGAACATACAAGTAAAGGTTGCTTATAAAACTTCAGTTACTGGAAAAAAATATTTGTAAATTAAAAGGAATGAGGGGGGATGAGAGAAAAGGAAATGAATGAAATCTACCTGATAGTAGTGCGAAATTTTTTACTTACAAAGGTAGTAAGAACACCAAAAAAATTCAAATTAGAATAAAGTAAAATGAGAACGAAACTTGCTAAACGAGAATGAAGTGCCCTATTTGCTATAG